AGTCGTGAGCAGGGCCCGGCTGCAGCCGTCCCGGGTCGCGTGGGCGCGGGGCGCCGGCGACGGCTGCAGTTCTGAACCAACAAGCTGTGGTGTAGCTTTAAACCTCTACTAAGAGTGAGATAACCTGCCGCTGCACCGGACTAGTGCAGTTCCACAGCGACTTCCAGGAAAAGGACGGTGTTTTAAGGTCAGGCAGAGCTTGCGGGCCTGTACCCCTAATACCCCGGCTCGGTGGGAAATGTGGAAACCACCACCAGAACGGAGAGCATCTGTCTGCTGCCATAGCGCAGATCGTGCAGCTGGGCACAGCTGTGGCAGCTCAGCTTAAGGGGGATAATTATTTAAGCCGCTGTGACCGAGTTACATGTGTGCTTGAACTCCCGCCACAGAAACACGTGAGTGAAATCAAAGGGACACAGATGGCGAACAACTCCCCTGTGGGTTTGCTCTGCTACAGAAACATTGGTCTAAGTGGTAAAACTTTCTCCCAGAGACAAAGCCAAAGCCTTAGTAACAACACACAAACATCCAAAAAACCCCCAAACAAAACCAAACCCACAACCGCAACCCAGAAAGGCTGAGATACAAAACACTTAAAAGTTCTTTGAATTAAGTTCCCAAGTCCCATTCCTCTGAAATGTTTTACTCTCTTCCTGTATCATGATTGTTTTCTTGATATGGACAGAAACTTAAGACTTCAAATTCCAAATCAGTTATAATATTTTCCTACTTTACTGGTTAATTGACTACTGGTGACCAGAAAAAAGGCCTGAATTTCATGTATGCAGTTGCTCATTCTCTTGACTACTTAAAGAAGGTATTTTCCTCCAGTTACTATTAAAGTTTAGAAACCAGAAAAAAAGTCTTCGTCTTTGTGTCATAATGACAAAACACTTGAAAACAGCAACTGCTTCAAGAATTTATCCAAATTCCTATGGCAACATTATTCACCCCTTCCTCCTCTCCACTCCCCACCTTAGTTGCATTTCCACCATCAAAACTCTTGCTGGTTACAGTTCATCTTTGCCTGCCAAGACAGTGCAAATGTTTTGTGCTGATCCTCTACCTAGCGTGAATTTAGCTCTCTCTTCACCTATGTCTTTCTTTCTTTTCTCTTTCCCGTGTGTTTCCCTTGCTTAACAGAGCTTCATAACAACTGGCCTGTGTTACTCAGGAGGTCTGCTTATCACATTGGTCCCCGCCGGACTTAAAATCTATGTATCTTGTGTTTTATTGTGTGTCTCCCAGCTGCTTATCTCCCTTCTCATCCCTATTCTTTCAAGTCTTCCATTCTTCTTCACTGGTATTAATCTCCTCCACTGATTTTAACTCCATTTTAGCAATAAATAAATAAATCTGTGGAAATATGAATCTGAATTTGTAGCTTTTGTTCACTGCATCATCTCTTTCTCTTTTTATTCCTCATCTGAATATTAAGAGCATCATAATGCTGGGATTTTTGTATTATTATTTGCATTTCATATCCTTTTTACTTTAGCCTGCACCATGCAAAATAAATGCTAACTCACAGCCTAGGAGTGGAGAAAAGGGCTTTACCCAATAAAAGAACTGAATTACAGAAACAGCAGGAGGGGCTGGGAGGACTGACAATCTGTTTGCCATTTGTGAGCAAAAGCTTTATTACTCTGCTGCACTTCAGATCACTAATAGCTGCCTATCTGACCTGTGATAACCAGTCATATTTTTATGCAAAAGTACACTTAAAAATATAAATTTAAACAGAGAGAACATTATGGGATAAGTTTTTCCCATCTCTTAATGGATCTTCACACTAAGAACAATATTCCAGCAGGGAGAATGGGGAATATTCACAGTTTTAAGATTTGGGGAGCAGAATCCTACATTTGCTTGTCATATTAAACCATATGTTATCAAGCTATCCTTTCTCAGGACGTTTATATTTAATATAAAAATTGAAAAAAAAAACAACCAAAAAACCACTGGTAGCTTACTTTTACATATGGCATCAGTAAAAACCAGTGGTTTTCATGTAGCACTTTGCATTTTTACCTCTTTGCTCAGCTTGAATCAATTCAATTTTCTGTCACTATCTAAGGACTGCCTTAGGTCATGTAATCATGTTAATATAAGGGAAATCATGTTAATGTAATGGACCAAAATATTACTGTCAGACACTCATGGGTTTTTTACATTAATTTTATTAGACATCTTGCAACAAAGAAAAAATGTCAAACAAACATGCAATTCAGAGGTCATTTTAACAGTCAAATATTTTCTGCTTTTCAGTGTAAGTGCCATATTTGAATGAACACTTCCTTTTAAAACAACATGCCTTCAGGTTTGTTTTGCTGCTGCAGTTGTGAGACCACTCCATTTTCCTTCTGTGTGGAAATTGACCTTTACAAAATACCTGTTACTCAATAGCATTTACCTTTTTTGACTTCCAGGCCCTTTGCATTTCTTTATTCTTACAGCCCACCTATGATTGCTCATGCATCCTATGGCACAGTATTAGCTGTCTGCGTGTCAGACCCCTCTCTCTTCCCTAAACCAACTTCTCTTTAAGTTATCAACCTGGAATATAATTCATAAGTACCACTGTATAACAGTCCTCACCTATTTCCCCATTTCTTAATTTTGCAGCACAAAATTAAATATTGATAGTTATCCTTATCTGCTACTAAGTACTCCCCTGTTCCTGACTTAATCTTTCCATTCATTCCAAGTGCTGGGCAAATGATTTATCAAAATGACCGTAACAAAGCACTTAGTTCTAAAAGCGCAAGTATTTACTTCTAAGTGATGAGAAGAAAAAAAATGTTAGCACTCAAGAAGTCTTTAGAATCCAAAATCTTCACACCCTCTGTAGAAACTCCAGTGCTTTTCCATTACAGAGCATGGCAGAAACTCCTCTTTACATACCATTATTCTCTCACGGAATTGAAGAAAATGTGTCAGACTTTCCACTGAGTTAAACTGGACAGAAGAGCCTGTTGAAAATGAATGCAAATGATAACAGAGTGTTTATTGGAGTAATGAAAAGCAATCATTGGCACTACTTTCTAAAAAGGTGTTTGCTATTTTTTAGACCATGTAATCATTAGTGTTCCCTACAAATCTGTAACATATCCTAGGATTCTTGTGGGGAAAGACTCAGGACATCTTACCAGTATCTCTCACCCACATCCAGTAGACCTTCTGGTGCCCAGGCTGAAAAGTTAACCATCCCAGATATTTCCAGTTACATAACAGGAAAATGCAGTTTTTCTTTAGTACTGATGGAATTTCACATATTATGTCTACAAAGAGATACGCTTGGTGTACTTCCCTAAATTGAGGAGTCTCACAGGGAATACCCATCCTACAGTCCTGAAAGGACTATATAAAAAGGAAGGCATACACTCGTAGAGAAGAAATTGCAGGATTGAATAATGGGTGTTTGCAATATTTAAATATCTGCTGGACTGAATTAACTATTGCAATGAATATATTTAAGGCATTCGTGTCAGTACAAAAACCGAACTTTTTAAAACTTAAAAACCATTCACAAAGTAACATTGTAAAGATCCAGCAGTAGGAAACGTTACAAGGCATTTCTCCGTAACAGCACAGACTCCAAAAGGCACTTGCAACTGTAGATTTCAGCGTTACTTGCTTTTGTTTATCTTTCATCCTCACTTTCTCCCTTCAGCACCCTTGCACAAAGTAACAGAGTTGCTGAGCTGCCACAACCAGCCCAGCACAGAAACTGCCAGTGAGAGCAGAACTGTCACACTTAGCAGGCGGTATCAAGAGAGGGAAGACTGTCATTAAAGTAGGGATGTCTTCTGATTAAAAAAAACCAACAAAATCAAACAACAAGCCACATCAAGAAGGTGTCCAAACAACATTCAAGTGTCTCAATAAGCAAAACAGGACTATTAGATCAGTCAAGATAAATCCTTGTCAAAGTACAGAGAAAACATGTTTGAAGTGACATCAGTTGGCCATTTAGTTTGCACCTATTTCTGGGCTCCCATGTGCCACACCAAGAGTCTCTTTCTCTGCTACTACAGTTTTCCATTTGTATCACCTACACTGCTTCCAAAAAGCAAAATATATTCGCTGAAAACATTGGTAGAAGAAGCCAGTGCTAAAACAGTGTAGCTTGTAAGTGTTAAGACCTTCTAACTCCATGTCTTGGTAATGATTACCCTGCCACACCCTGAATCCCAGGAGCTCACCATCCAAAGCAGCAAAGCAGAAAATTGCTATTAGAAGCAAAAGGTCTGTGTTCAGAAATGCAAACAGGGAGTTTTATGTGTGTGGATGTTCCACACCCATGACATCCACAGCAAAACTTCTGACTCCAGTGAGGACAGGATTGCATTCGGCATCTTACACCATCCGTGCATCTTCAGTACCCTCAGCCATGGCATAGTACATAATGGAACAAAGTATATGATCTCATGTCTGGGGTATATTTAAGTACGACTGACTGCAACAAAGATAGGCTGCACACAAGTCCCATGCAAGAAGTTACATCACAAACCCTCCTCACACAGTCTTTACCACTTGTGAAGCAGCTGTCAGTCAGTTGCACTAGAAGAAGACAACTTATACACTCCTCTAGAAGTGATGTTTTAAAGGGCACAAACAGGAATGTTTGGACAGAAAATCAAAAAATAGTTTTAAGAACAACTTCAGGTAAAAATAATCTTAAAAGTATGCCTGGGATTTTTTTTTATAAAAGAAACTGGCAGAAACTGAGATGAAACATTGTCATTAATTCTGAGTCTGAACTGCGGTGACATGACAGGCATGGCTTCAACCTGCTTTGGTTTGTTCAAAATAAGCTTTTTCATTCTCAAATCTCTACATTTTGTATACAAGCAGAGGGAATATTCTTAGCACAGCCTGAATTTAACATCATGTTTTGAGAGATCATAATTGGAGAAAAGACATTCCTTTCTTACTTCAGAAATGCTCTTTGGAAATGCTCCACATTGATTTAACTTACTTACTAGAAATTCTCAACTCAAATACAAAAGTGTAAGAGAGATCTGACCAATTAGATCTATTGAAGTAACTTTTTTCTTCAGCAGCTGACAGCTTGTTGATTCCTTTGGGTTAAATTTATGTTTTACTTATCCGATTAAGATTTTGTAAATTAAATATCAGTATTCTACTGCAAATACTTTACCCGAGTGAATAATTAAAATATCTAATATCTATAACCTCTATTTTTCAATAAGTTAGGTAACAGTCAACAGCTAGCAAAACCACAGTAATTTATATTTCCTAAAGCTGCCTTCCTCAATTCTGGCATCAATGTTTGATATCAAAATTTCTACATCCATAGACAATATTTCTTCCCGAGTAAGGATAAATCAGTATTTTAGTCCCTGTGTTTCTTCCTCTATATTCTGACACAGATTATTAATGTCCTTCCCATTTTTCTTTCTCAATTTTTTCTCCCCTTTCTCTTTCTCTTTCCTATTACTTTTAATCATCTAATACCCACTTTGATGTTTCCTTCCTCCATTTTGCTGACTGTTAACTCTCAGACCCTTACGAAAGACTGGCAGCTTCCAGGCTGTAAACAGCAGAGAAATGTTGCTATACTGTTATCCAAAACTCAGTGCCCCCGGTACAGAGGAAAACTTGATAAATGAAGACACACACAGGCAGGGTCTTTCTCTGCTTTCTTACCCTTGCTGTCCTGTTAGGTGTTCTCAGTTTTCTGTCATCTTCTACAGGATAAAGTATCAATATTAGAATGAGCTTTTTTACCCCAAAAAATATGTGGAATACACATGTTGTCTCTTGGTAGCTTTTCCATCCTTCTTATCAACAGTTTTTCTGTCTCTGAAGGCATCTATTTTAGTTCTACAGTTTTGAAACAGTGCCACAGAATCAAGTAGGTTGGAAAAGACCTCTGAGATCATCGAGTCCAATCTATGACCTAACACCACCTCATCTACTAGACCATAGCACTAAGTGCCACATCTAGTCTCTTCTTATATACCTCCAGGAATGGTGGCTCCACCACTGCCCTGGGCAGCCCATTCCAATGTCTGATCACTCTCTGTGTGAAGAAATTCCTCCTAATGTCTAACCTAAACCTCCCCTGGTGTAGCTTAAGACTGTGCCCTCTTATCCTACCGCTGTTGCCTGGGAGAAGAGACCAACCCCCACCTGGCTACAACCTTTTTTCAGGGAGTTGTAGAGAGTGATGGGATCTCCCCTGAGCCTCCTCTTTCCCAGGCTAAACAGCCCCAGCTCCCTCAGCCTCTCCTCAGAGGACTTGTGCTCCAGTCCCATCATCAGCCTCGTTGCCCTTCTTTGGACACACTTCAGCACCACAATGTTCTTCCTGAACTGAGGGGCCCAGAACTGGACACAGTACTTGAAGTGTGGCCTCACCAGTGCTGAGTACAGGGGAAGAATCACTGCCCTGGTCCTGCTGGCCACACTCTTCCTGATCCAGGCCAGGATGTCATTGGCCTTCTTGGCCACCTGGGCACACTGCTGGCTCATGTTCAGCTGCTGTCAGTCAGTACCCCCAGGTCCCTCTCTGTCTGGCTGCTCTCCAGCCACTCTGTGCTCAGCCTGTAGCACTGCATGGGGTTGTTGTGGTCAAAGTGCAAGACCAAGCACTCAGCCCTGTTGAACCCCATACTGCTGGATTCAGCCCATTTATCCAGTCTGTCCAGGTCCCTCTGCAGAGCCCTCCCGCCTTCTAGCAGATCAACACTCCCCCCCAACTTGGTGTCATCTGCAAATTTCTAAGGGTAGATTTGATCCCCTCATCCAAGTTTTCAACTTTTGTTTCCATTTCGTTGCATCTCTACAAGACCTAGTTCTCTGGGGCTGCTAAGAATCCAAAAATTTTATTTAAGGAGAATTCCCATTAATGTGAAACTACATGAATATCAGACCATAATCTCCAGTTGCACAGAGGTTAGTCAGCAAAGACTTTCACTTCAGTGCAGAGTCACCATTTTCTGATATTAAAACAGCTCCTGAAAGATTACATCTTGAAAATCCCACTAGTATCTTCCTTACTTATCCCAAGCAAGAAAGTGCTGGGACTACCCAGAGGCACGGTTATGCATTTTATAACTATTTTACTTGGGGAAATTATTTGTAAAAGGAATTTAAATGCTTTTGTAGTTTAAGCAACATATTTGAGTAAATTTACAGGCATCAGTAAATCCAGTTTAAATACTTCTGTAAAACAGGTAACCGTTAGTATAATCTGAGAGATCATCTGAGGGAAAGATGATCTCATTTGCAGTATTTGGCAAAGTCACAGGAGATTTTATTCTTCTAACTCAAAGGATCTGGTTCAGCACAGCTAGTCTAGACATGGTCTACAGATGCATAAGCAAAAAGGAGATCTAAGAACAACACACTTAAAGGTGACAGCCTTTGATCTAGAGTGCCACAAGGGAGTATTTATAAAACAAAAATCTATTTTTAAGTGCTTTCAAGTTTCTTGGGACCTATCCACACTCCTCTCAAGAACTTAGAGAAGACCAGTCACAATACAGGAGTCTCAATAGGCATTGTCTATTCAGACCAAACAAGGCCTTAGAAATGACAGCCAGCAATTCACATAACATTTTTGGGCCCTCTGACTCTTAAAAAAAGGTTTCTACTAAATTGAGGCACAAGAATTCTGCCCATGCTAGTAGTAATTTTGAAAATAACTTTTCTTTCAGCTAATCGAGATCTGACATTTTGGAAAATGAGATGTGTGTGAACAGATTGAATAGTAAGACTAGACCTTCCTCCAACAAAATACGTTTTCCTAGTAGTTTAATATTTTTCCCCTCTGAATGCTTTTGCTTTTCTCTAGGTCTCCCCACAGTTCTTGATTCACTTCACTTGATATCAATTCTTTTTTCCTCCTGTAAATGCTGGAGTCCAAGGACTCTGTCTTTACAAACCAATTACTAAGGAGTGATCTTTTTTTAACATTCAGATCAACCATGTCAGTCAGACA